TGTACCTTAGTGTTTTCTTACCATATAAGGAACTCTATTGGCCATCCCAAAGGGGATACCTGCTCAACAATTTAAAGGCAGCTTCTATCTGCCTTTCTACTTCTCTGTGATGAACAGAATAGGGGGACAGAAAACATGCCGATCTGATTTGTAGATGACACAGAAATAGACATATGTCCAGTCTATTGACTGGCAGATTCAGGATTATTTATTCAATGAATATTCATTGAATTCTAACTATGTACTTACACTAGAATGTAGAAATCATTATAATTTTTTTTGAAATACCTGAGCATTATACTGAAACTAAAAGGATGAAATTGAATAGGCATTAATGAGAAACTCCATGTTCTGAGTTTCTTAAATGCAACCCTCTAAGTATAGAGTGGTGTGTGTGTGTGTGTGTGTGTGTGTGTGTGTGAGAGTGAGTGAATGAGAAAGGTGGTGGAAAGTCCTGGTTTCACAGCAGTTCATGTAGAAATGTTTTCTTAGGAAAATAGGAGTTCAATTTTGAATCAGGACTATAGCGTGGCTATTCACAAAGCTAATGCATTCAGCTTGTGGTGATAGAAGTCCAGGGAGCCCTGTATGCTGCGTTGGTAAGTCCACATCCGGATGGAGGTTGGATCCAATTCTGGGTACCACATTTTAAGAGAAATATTAATAAATTAATTGTGCCCAGAGGCAGGTGGCTAGAGTTGTGAAAGGTCTGATTAGATAAGGGACAGGGGAATAGATCCTGTGAAGAATAGAAGGTATAGCTGGAAAAGGAGTGCAGAGAAGGAAGGAATGATATAATAGCTGCATCGAATTTTCTTTTGAGCTATAAAAAGGGTGAGGAATTAGACTTATTCTGTGTAGCTTCAAAAGGCAAAAACAGGAACAAAGGAGAACTTTATACATGACAGATGTGTGCTTCAATATAAGAAAGAATTTTCTAATAAGAGTTGTTTTAAAGAGGAATGGACTCAAGTAGTAAAATTTCCTGTTGCTGCAAATGCCCAAACAAAGGTTAAAATAACTGTCTATCCCAGATGCTACAAAAGGGACTCTTACAGTGGATTTGTGCTGGCTGCCTACCAAGATTCCTTCTGCATATAGGTTTAGTCTCAGCAGTAATAGGACTCTCTAACTCTAGTTGTTTTTTCTTTGATAAGTGGTTTTTCATGCTTTTCGAAATACAGTGGAGTCTCCCAGAGATGTTTGTCAAGTGAGGGCTCTAAGACATAGCCCTTCCCCTATTGAATTAAAGGCACTTGAGATTCCTCAATGAAACATCAAGATGAGTTGAAGAGTTGACAAGGTGAAAGTCATTCCGTCACCTTCCTTACTGAAGGTTAGCATCCACACACCCTCTCCAGATCTCTGCCTCCCCTGTTAGCGTCACATGTGTATTGCTTATTGGACCTTTTTCCCCACCATGGCTTATTCTCATTGCCTTCATGCTTTCACCTGGACTTTTTTTATTTTTAAACTAAGGGTGTAGAAAATACCTTCCATGCTATCTATACATTCAGTGAGCAAATTATTATTAATTTTTAAAACTCCGCCACCTTGATTTTATCACATTCGATTTCTCTCTAGTTTTGGGGAAAATGATTATGGGTAGCATTCTGTGGTTGAAGAACAGAATACTAAATATTTTCAGACTCAGTGTTTTCCTAATAGCCTACGTAGAAGACGCAATTGGGAAAATTACCTTTTTGATGTATACATTCTAAGTTTGTCACCCTGGACCTGGATTTTGTGTATATGTGGTCACAAATAATCCTTGTCTATGTTGTCAGTAATGTGAAAATATTAAAAGTGAATTCATTTTACAAATACATAGTATTTCTGTTAGAACATAGATGTCACATATTGAGAACTGTGCTTTCTTTTGAGTAGTAGTGGCTTGCTTTGTGACTTTATGGTAAGAGGGTAAGAAATGTACTTGTTATAATATGTCAAACGAGAATATGAGGTATTTTGTGGAGGGCCATTAAACCTCCTTTGCCACTCTTGTAAACAGTATTAATTATTCCTTATCAGCATTTTGCATTTCACTTACATTAAATATTTTCTGAATATATTTTTTCCATTTGGCTCTTCTCCTCCCCTCCCTGCCCCCCACCTTCCTGCATTATTGGCAAAGCTCATAACCTTTGAGGATCTTTTTTTTTATGAAAAATATTTTTATTTGAAATGAGAGTAATTCCTATTTAAATCCAGTAAGTGATTGAGGGCAAGAGTTTATTTTCCTAGAAATTCCCAAGAACTGTGATCTATGAAGGCAAGGAATGTATCTTGATTCTCTGTTTCTAGTACTTAGCACAAAGCTTGGAATATAATAGGTTTCAGCCACCTTAAATCCTTACTGATTAGACAAACGTATGTTACTGAAATAAAGGGAAATTACTAGGTATTCGATAAATGTTTGCTGAATGAATATTTACCCTGAGACTCTAGAACAACTTAACTCTTACTTATTGTCAAATACCTATATTAAAGGAAACAAGCAAGCAAGCATGCTTTTATTTCCTAGAATACTTAAATGATTTTTCTTTCCTTTTATTCCGGCCTCTGTTGTCAAATAATGATACTTGTCAGCACTCAAGCACTTAATGTGCAGCTCCATTTAAACTGGAATGTACCTTATTCATGTTGAAAAAACATGATTGTGCCCAAAGTACAGTAGCCCAGATGCTGTCCATAGTCAAGATTATTGATTCAGTTTTGTTCCTGCAAGTCAGACAGATCTGTGAGCCTGAGCCTTGCCCATTTGAATGTTCAGTGGGAAAAGAAGCATTTGACAGAGAGCAAAATCACACTTGGTATGCTAGGTCTTTGTTTTCCCTAACATTAACCACTGACCAAAGTTGCTGTGTCTTTTGCCATAGTAAGTTGGAGGTCTGAGATTGTAAGGCTGAAACTCGTGAAATGAAATCATGATTTCAGAGCTGCTTTAAGTCACATAGTAAGTTTAATAGTGGAAAAGCAGAGAATGAGCAGAATTTTTTTAAACCCTGGGAAGATTAAACTGATTTGAATGGGAAGCACTGCCACCTAGCATACTTTTAGAAATTCTCCCCATTGGGAATGGTAACTAGCTCTTCTACAAATGATGATGATAAGTTAATTCTAGCATATCTAGGGTTTAAATCATGTTAAGAATGCAATTTAATAGGAAATTCCAACAAAACTGATGAAAAATTAAATCCACAAAAAATGTTATCTAAGAAACAAATCATCTCTAACACTTTACTACCAAGTCCCATCTAAACCATGACATCTCTTTATATAAAATTAGTCATGGCATTCTCACCAATGTCTAAACGCCAATTCTCTACAAATTACTATTTCTTAATTACGCTCTTTGTAAATGAAACTTGCTTTGGATATTCTGACTCATATTTATGTGTTTAAGGAATTGAATGAAATGTATGAGGCAGTCATAAATATAGAAAGTAAATGTGTGTATCAGTAATATTTTCCCTTGTATTAACTAAAGCAGGAATAGGGAACTTTTATATTTCTTCTAGTGTGCCTTAGCAAATTTGATTGCAAGTCTAGTCTTTTTGTTTTACATTTTTTTTAAAAAAGTATATCTCTGAATTTTCAATTCCAGGCCTGTAAAGAAACTGTCCATAGTAATATGTTTAGTAGTGCCTGGAGAAAGGCAGATAGAAATTGTATGTAATGAAAAGCTATAAAAGAACAGACTAAAAAAGTAGAATTTCAATATGAAAAGATATTCATATTGAAAATGAATGAGATTATAGAGAGATGACAAATATAGCACTGGCCATCAAACCTAAAATGCTTGAACTAGAGGCCATCCCTTAAAAGTAAGGAGCTCTAAGAAAAAGAAAAGATTGCGTAGCAGGATAAACAATAGAATTAATCCAACAAGTGCGTTTACTCTGGTCAAGGTGCTACACTAGCAGCCATGTTCCCTAAAGGGAGCTAAGGCCAAACACAAGAACACTGAAGATTATTGGTGTAAAGTCATCGGTGGGAGTAAAATTGGGGTTTCTATGAATTTTTTAAGGATATAATCATGGAGACAATCACCAATTTAAGTGACTTGCTGTTTTCCCAATTGGGCTTCAGCGACCTCAGCCAAAAAAAAGTGAGGAGGCTGTACTAATTGTTCCCTCAGGTCCTTTCCAGTTTTATGGATTATTTTACAAAATACCCTTTTTTTTTCCCCCATCGTCAGTGATACTTCATGTCAACAGGACTCTTCATATAGTCTCAAGAACTAAGAAATTTAAAATTTGAAGATTGGGAAAATTGGCTAGCCTATCTTTTCCTTTTCATGTCTTTATTTTTTACCATCTGTCCAGACAACAAACACAGAAAATCTTGCAATCCTCTATTTTGCCGTTGCCTTCAAATATAGATAAAAATGAAGGATCAAAATGATGGTAAGGATCAATTGGAACTGCACTGGGATTTCCACCAGCACATCAGTGGCGTGAGTGCGAAGAAGAGCAGACGGGTCTCTGAAATGGAAGTTGGATTTGGGTACCACTTAAAACAGAAGTAGGTCTAACATTCCCAGGTACTGAGGAGCCAAGTCAGGATGATCAATGGCTTATGGATATACTCTTTTATACAAAAGACTGCAGAAATCGAGGGAAGATAAAAACACTCAGTAAACATCCTGGGACTATCACCATAGAGTTACAGCAAAATGAGATGAGAGAGAAGGTCAGTTCTCCCTATACGCTCTGTCTCTTTGCAACATAAAATTGTAGGTAAAAAAGTTTTAAAACATGTACAAACTATAAAATAGCATCTCTTTTTGTGGTATGTGTTTGTATGATTTTAGTTTCTTATACTTAGAGTTGGTCAAATGTAATGGCTCAATTCCAACTGGACAGCAAGAAATTCCAACATCCTCTGCCTCAGATCAAATTCTTAATGCTAGTTGTGGACAATATCTAGCCACACTGTGACTGAAGCCTTAAGCACTGTGGGCTTCAGGATCAGTGACCTCACATGGTATCCAATGGGAGCAGTTCTGGGAAAGTGGATGTGCAGATCCTGACAACAACCTGTTGGACCAAAGTGTTCAAGGGTTTTGACGTATGGAGGTGACAAAAGGGAAGAGTATGAACTCCTCCGACCCTAAGCTAGCATTCATTTAACCTTTGTGTCCAACTGTCAGCAGAACCTGGAGAAAATATTACTGTGTTCAAGTAATTAAACAGAATCAGTGTTTTAGCCAGGGAGTGATGAAAGAGCACCCTCCTCACTCTCCATTTTTGTAATGTCCATAGTGAATTTCAATATGTCAGGATGGACGGACCCAAGACCTAATAAATGATTTAGCTGATCGAAGGCTTGTATTTTCTTTCATTTATCATCCACCCTCATTCGATATAACTTTTTATACTATTGTCATTAATTTTATGTAAAACCAGTTTACTTTAAAAACGTAATGTGTGCCTATGTAATAAAGTCTATACACTGGCTAACTCTGTAGAAGTGAGATTTTGTTTTTAATTGTTCTGCTGATTATCATCTGTAATACCGTTTTTCGAGCTATGAAAATGAGCTATTAATCAAATATTTTCAACAAAATCTATCACTGACAAGATTTAATGAGATCAGGCATAATGAAAAATATCTATTAAAATGTTTATTAATATAGTTAGTGATTATAGGCTGACAAGTTAACAAGTTTAATTATCCTATTTAAGTTTATCATGGCCATAACTGAGTCAGTTCAAGATGTATTTATTGCAGTCCTATTTTGTGCCCAATTCTGTGAGAAAACAAATTAAAATGATTCAGTCCTTAAGGTTTTCTTCATGATAAGAATATACACATATAATAAGTGAGAAATATAAAAGCACATCATCAAATAACAAATTTGCATTATGTTCCCAGCATATTGTCAGCACTCAAGAAATAACTGTTCAATCAATTGATGAATCCAAATGACTAATGTCAACATAAACTCAGATGGGAAAAAATCAATATGGAGTTTAGAGTTGAGAAGAGGCAGGTTTAAAAGTAGTATGTTATATTAGCAGGAGATGAGTTTGGATGAAGGGTTCATGTATATCAAGAAATAAGATCGATAGTTAGGCCGACCAGTGATACAGTTTGCATCTAGCCCAAGGGTGGACTCAATCTTGTAAATGCTCTGAAGCCATTTTAGAATCTTGCCAATAAAGCATTATTGTGGAAAGACAATCTGTCGACAATGTGCTGGGTATTCTGAACTAGGAGAAAGATTAAGGACAAGGAAAATAAAGGTTTTTCAGAGTAAACAGGCAAGAAAGAAACAGCTTTGTGTTTAGTTCAAATAGACCATGGACATCTTAACGCAAAATACATCATATTTCAAAATACAATTATCTACAAAAGGAGAATTCAGACCAGTTCAGTGGCCCCCTCCCATGGAGAGAACTTTGTCCTGAACAGAACATATGGAATTTTATTAGCCTAGTCTATGAAATTAACTGATATTAGTAACTGTAATAGGTACAGAAAAGAATTAATAGCCAAATAGGAGCATGAAATTTTCTTAAGTTGGGGAATCTGAAGAAAATTCTACTCTTTTCCTTATCCACCCAAAAGTTTTCTTGAACAAATTTTGAAACCTAGTTGTCTAGGTCCCACATTATCATGAGGCGTTAGCCTTCTAAGGCCCTCCTTTCCTTTAATATCCAAGTGGAATCACTTCTCATGTAACTTGAAAGCCAGGCATGCTCCACAGTGTTCCTCAGTATGTGAGGGAGGCGAGTTGAGAAGGAGAGAAGGTGAAGATGGGAATTTAAGTGTCCTCACTGTCGTGGGTCAGCTTTTATTTTAAACTCCCAGCTCCTTGATCACCTTCAACTATCTATTGCTCCATGCTGGGCAGCTTTCTGCATTCCTAAAACATAACAATATGAGCTAACATTTACGTCGTGCTTCTACTCTGACTTGTATGAAGTATTTAATCAAGGCAGCCCTCTCTCTCCATTCTGCAGGGAACTAATAATTCAAGGCTGGTGATACAACCAATGTTTACCAAGGGTTAGCAATCAGTGGTGAGTATTTACAGCACAAGGCAGGAAAAAACTTAAAACAATATCAGACATTCTTGCTTCTAAGGGTTATTGCCCATATTCCACAGAGGGAATCTGTAAACATCTTTCTCCCTTGTCTCTAGCCTGAGTAAATGGAGCCAACTCCTCAAGCCGTCAAACTACTGTCTCTCGGACTGCCAAGAGAAAACCGAAAACTCTTCTTAAAATCCCAAATTAAGTGGGGATTAATTTCTAAAGTGAATACTCTTGAAAATCACTTAAATTTCCCATAAGATAAAGTAGACTAAAGCATAAGTCTTTAATAAAAGTCGCTCTATGACCCTCAATTAATTTTTCAATTTCTTCATTGAGGATACTGACAGAATCATTACCACCCACAATCCCAGCTACGTGAATAATGTGTTCACGGCCAATGTGGGGAAGTCATTAAAGTGAGTCACACAACTATTCCCTGAATTTTACCAACATGACTTGGCTGTTTGAGGCGTGATGGTGTCCTTTATCTGCCTCACAGATCTACTGAGTGGAATTACCAACTAAATAACTTGAATAAAAGTATAATGAGCCTTCACTGTACTTCACTTTATTATGCAATGCAAATTTTAGTTCCATTCCATCATATCCTGTCATGGACCCTCTGAAGTATCTTTCCAAACCAAAGAGAAGTTAGATCTCCAAAAAGAACTTACATAAACTCACAATTTTTCTCTCGAGGTATGAAAAGTTACCGATAATATTTTCAGATGGAGTTAAATTAAAGTCAAAATACCTGTACTTTCCTCCACTAACACAGTCTGGGACAACAGAACGGAAGAGGATAAAATCTATTCTCCACCTGTCAAGAACAAACCCCAGAGCTTACGACGTTTTTTTTCTTTTCTGTCTTCTCCCTCATCTTCTCCCTTCTCCCATCTCTTCTTCCCACTAATAGGCTTAAAGTCTTGAGAGCCTAGACTGATCTGGTGGCAATGGCAGAGAAAGGAACATATCTCAGAGACCGAAGAGATTCCAATCATTCTTCCCATATTGGACTCTTGTAAAACCCCTATTGTATATCTCATTTGCTGCCTTTAACACTTGTGAGCTGCCTTTTAATATTTTATATTTATTAGATTTATCCTCCTTGTAAAAAGCAATAGTCGACTAAGAGAATTGGCTTTCTTAGTATGTGGCAAAAATATGCCAAAAGCAATATGAATCAGCAAGCATAAATTAACATATAATCGAATGTGACTGAAATTCACTCTGTATTTTAGTAAATGTTCTTGTAATCTCTTGATGTCAGTTTCCCCTTCCACCTTCGAGCTTCTGCAGTCTGGAAAGTCCCTTTACTATTGCTTTTCTTTCTCTTTGCAACTCTGAAGTTATTGCTGTCAGGAATGCTGCAAGAATGTTTGATTTTCCTGATTCACCAGACTGTACAAAATCTACCCTCTTTTATTCTCAATATACTTGTAATAAGGGAATAACAATTGCAATAAAGGAGAAAGGCTCAATGCAAACAGGAGAATACAAGCACTTGGTGACCAGACTAAATGGTGGGGCAAAAGAGAACCAACAATTTAGAAATTCTGACCCTGGTTGTGTTTATCTTGCAAGCCTGCCAAATAGCTTATCAGAAACCCAACTGAAAAAAAAAAAGCTATTTCTTTTGCTACAAAAAATATCAAATAACAGGCTGTACACCAATTTATACTCTCCTGAGATTTTTAAATTATGAATTTAAAGAGGACCGAAGATATTATGCTAAGTGAAATAAATCAGACAAAGGCAAATACCATATGATCTCACATGCGGAATCTAAAGAACAAAATAAATTTAAAAAAAAAAAAACAGAACAGACTCATAGATAAAGAGAATAAACTAGTGATTGCCAGTCCCATATGCTCTTCCAGAACCTTCCAGTCCCCATTAAATAGTGGCATTTCTCCACTCCTTGAATCTGGAGCTTATGACTGGTCCCGTGAATAGAGCATACTGGAAGCGATGCTATGCGACTTCCAACGCTAGGTCATAAAAGGATATAGTTTCTGCCTAACTCTCAGTTCACTCACCTTTGGACCCTGGCTATCATGTTGTGTGGGAGCCCAGGCCACACTGGAGAGACCACATGTAGGTGTTCAGTCGGCAGTCCCAGCTAAGGTCTCAGATAACAGCCAAAATCACCAAGGCACAGAAGTGCATGAAGATTCACATGATTCCAACTCATAGACATTGAGTCTTCCAGTTGAGGCATCAGATGTCACAGAGAAGTGAAAAGCCATTTCCACTGCTATGTCCAAACTCCTGATCCTCATAATCTGTGAGCATAATAAATTATTGTTTCAGGCCATTAACTTCTGGAGTAATTTGTTGCATAGTTATAGTAACTGGAACACCAACATTGAGTGATTACCAGGTGCCATATACTGTGTTGGATGCCTTACATTTTATATTGGTTAGCTATTTCTATGTAACATCACCCCAACTTCAGTGACTTAAAACAATAGTTCTCTAATATTATAGCTCACATATCTGTGAGTCTATTGAGGACTGACTGACCTAGGGTGGGCTTGCTCATGTGACTAAGTGTTGGATGGGAGCTCTGCCCTAGGCTGGGCTTGTCTGGGACATCTTAGCTGGGACAGATCCATTCTATGTGTCTCTTATCCTCCTGTTAAATCCAGCGGGCTTGCCTGGATACGTCATTTTCACGAAGAGGCAGCAGTACAAGAACAAGAGTGGAAATTTATAAGGCTTCTTGGGGCTTAAGGCTAGAAATAGTATACCATTACTTCTACCAAATTCTGCTGGCCAAATTGAGTCACATGGTCAGGCCCAAATTAAAGGGGTGGGAATATAGACTCTACCTATATATGGTACTGCAAAGTCACATACAAAAGGTCTATACATAAGGAGGGGTGAAGAATTGGAGCAATTAATTCTATCTAATACATATTTAATCTTCTTAATTATCAAGTAAGTACCATGATTACTTCATTTCATTCATTTCATTGACAAACTGAGGCTCACAGACTTTAAATAATGAGAGTTAACAGAGTTCCTGGAGCTTCCAGTGATACTGCTGCTCCTTTGGCTGTTTCATCACTGCAAACTGTCTAAGAGACCAACTTCTCAGATATCTTGACCCATCCTTTTAGCTACCAGACCACAATGGGCTGCATGAGTCTCATCTTAAACCAATTCCTGACCTTCCTCTCTGTCGGAAGCCAGCCGACCAAGTCAAACCGGGTACCTGAATGGGGGAGCGGGGACTGAGAAAAAAGAGAAGACAGACAGGGTGCAGGAGGGAGAACAGATCTCACAACTGTCTCTCCGAGTTTATTTCTTATCCTTCTTTTTATACATAATCTGTTCCTTTGTGTATCCCAAGATAACATAATTAAAGTAACATCCTGAAGATCAAGGTATAATCGACACTTCCTTTGACACTCCCTTCGACACTCCCTTTGACACTCCCTTTGTCTATACTTAATCTTCTTCTTCCTGGAATTCCACAGAACCAGCCTTTTCCTTTTTATGGAAGCAGGCCTCCTGAGATAATCCATGCACTCTTTTGAATTTGGGGAGCTTTAGCTCCCTACACCTCTCATTGGCCCTCAGGATTACAACATGCCTCAGGTTTCCATTTGCCTCAGGCACCAGTAGATGTCCCAATCTTTTTTGCCATACCACACCAATTAATCCATGAATACAACTCCCTCTTGCACTCCTCCTAACTCCCTGAACCCTTCCTGGGCCCTCTGAGACTCATGACCTATCATCAATATCTGTGATATCCTCTCTTAGCATTCCCTTCACTTTCATGCCCTGACTGAAACCCACTTATTCCTTATGGGCATTGCTTCCCCTGCCCTACAGTCCTCTAAGAGGACGTAGACTTTTCTTCTTTAAAACTTAGATCTTTTGAAGTTCATGCTATCAGACACTACAACTCCAAATATTGCTGTCCTGCTGACCTCCAAGTCTCCCCTCATTTATTGAAGATTTTAGCCTGGCCATCTATCTTCTTCTTTATCCCTACTCCTATTGCCATTCTTGATGTCTGACCAAGCCAATGCTGAGGCCTCTTAGTTCCTTGTACTCCTCACTTCTGATGATTTCCCCCCTTATGGCACTTCAGCTACGAACTTCTATGGTCATACGATTGCCCAACGATTACAGTTACAAGCACTCCACTCTCTGACCACCATCCCTACCTTTGAAGTATTCTCTTTATCAGATACTTTACAACAATTTTTTAAAACTTGCAATCCACCGTATCTATCATTTTCTTCATTTTCCACTACTTCTGCAGACTTATCTCCCATTTCTCTCTTTAGGTTTAATGGGCCATTATCAGAATCACTCACTGAGGTCCAAGGCAAGTGGTCTTCCCTTTAGAAAGAAGTCCCAGGAGTTACACACATCACATCTCACATCCATTGGATCAAACTTAATCAGGATGACACTCAGCTACAAAGAAGGCTCAAAAAATGCAATCTCTTTAAAGAGATTAAAGACCAGCTAAAAATCAGCCATTCTATTCCTAAAAGGTAAGGGGAATATGGACATTTGGAGACAGTTGGTGATCTTTGTCACATTAGTTAAACTTACTACTTAACTATTCTGTGCCTTCCCCAAGTAACTGGTTGAGACCAGAGAAAGGCAGATAACCATAATTCTCACCTAAATCTCAAGAAAACAATTGATTCTACATAACAAACTTACTTACTTCTTTAATACATTTGATTTTCTGACTATTTCATATCTTCTCCTCTTAAGACTTCAACAATTTCTTCTCACTCCTTACACCTCAATCTCAGCTGATAGGACCCTTACACTGCTCACATGACCTCATACATTCCCATGGCTGTAAATACCTATACATGCTAAATAATTCCCAAATCTTTATCCCCAGGTCTGCTTGCTGAGCTCTAAACTTGTATTCAACTGTTTGTTTGATGTCTCCACTTGAATGTTCAACAAACATCTAAACCTAACCGAAACAGAACTTTTCTCACCCAAACATGTCTTTCCCTCAATTTTCTCCAGCCTTAGTAAAGGGTACCAACGTCCTTCCAGTTACTTACAGAAACCTATGAGGCATCTTTGATTGCTCATTTTTCTAAAACCCCATATTGTATCCGAAGAAAGCTTTATTGGATCTCTTTTCAATACATATGATAAATCTGTTTTTCTTTCTATCTCCACTCTTCTCATTTAGATTTCTACAATTGCCTAACATATCATATAATATTTTACTTCTTTATATTATCTCTTGTCTGTCTCACCGGCCTCGTGCGCTTCATGAGTGAAGGAAATCTGCGCTGTACCCTAATGGCCTAGAATAGAGCCTGATGCATCATAAATATTTGTTGAATGAAAGAAAATCTAGTGGGAATCAGACATGCAAAAAATAATTAAAGTACATTTTAGAAGTGAGAATATGTACAAAATTTAGAAAAGAGAATATTTCCTGGCATTGGGAATTGGAGGCAGCTTTAGTCTTTCTCTTCGTACGAAAAAAAAAAAAAATAAGTACAACAATAAAGAACATTGTGAAATGTTTGTCTTAATTTTCCATTTAAAATATATGTTTAAACAAAATACACAAGCAATTATGTCAAATGTTATTACTTTACAAATGATTAAAAAAAGAATTTAGAGAAATAACGATGGGGGAAATGATGAAAGAAATGAAAGATTTCAAGAGCTGAATTTCATCAGAAAGGAAGAAAGGATAAAGGGGAGTGGAGAATGACATAAGTGTAGTGTGAAGAAAGATACAGAAACAAATTTTAGAAGACCCAGACCTCTTTGTTCTGGAGGAATGAGGAAGGAGGTTGGTTTTGACTTTATAAGACAGCTATGTGAGACCTTTATAAAGTCAGAGATAGTGGGGACAACCTATGGCGGGGGTACCTTATGCCTATCAATTAGTATTTCACATGTGGAAAGCCTAAGACCCATTGGCTCTATTTCTAAGAATCTATCCTACAAAGATAATAGCAAAAGTACATAAAGGGACATGTACAGAATATTGTTGCAGCAATATTTATAACAGCAAAAAAGGAAATTCCCTAACTACAATATAGAGGAATAGTTAAATAAATTGTTTTTCATACTATGAAATGCCATGCAGCTGTTAAAAACACCCGAGACAGCTTGAAATTTATTAGTCTAAAAGAGGTTTTTGATATACTGGATCTATGAAAAAGTCAAGTTGCATATAAAATTTAAGGCGTTATTCCAGTTTTGGAAAAAAAACAGAGTACTTGTTTTTACCTACATATATCTAGAGACATCTAGGAAAAACACAGGTGTGATCAAGAAGTGTGAGTGAAGAGACAGAAATACATGAGTTTCATTTTTATTTTATATATTTTTACTTGATGGCTTTTGGTAATTTAACTTTTCTTGTTTTGTTGTTTTCTCCCCAACAAATACTTTTTAAAATGTCATGAGTGATTAAGGATAAAATTAAGCAGGATAAATATGGGACTAAGAACATACTGTGATTTTGAAAATGGTCTGTATTTGATAATCATTATCCAATCACATTTTTAAAAGTCAGACGGAAATTCTGATTTGATTTTTTAAGCCAATATTGAAAGGATGAAAAGGCATTAAGGTCATTGAAAAGAGGCTATGTTTGGTATTCTGTAATTATTGTATTAAAGGGGGAGAATAAAAGCAAAGGAAGGAAGACAAGAAGAGAAGCGGAAAGAAAAAAGGAAAGTAAATTAAGGAAAAAAGGGAGAAAGAAGGGATTTGGACTTGATTGTGTTGTTCACTGAAATTAGAATTAAGACGCAAATATGTGATGAATTCCAACCTATGAAAATAAAACCATTGTTAGTCATAAGGATCACTCAGGAGTCTGTCTATAAAATATATGAAGAAGAAATGAAACACCGTTCTAGGGACTGTGGTTTCCTGCTCCTGTTTTCTATCTGGGCTCAGGTGTATTTTGCCATCCTGTGGCCAAATAATGGTATTGATTTTTATTACAAAGTACAACATACCTGAAGGCTGAAAATCTATCATTTTAATTTAAGATTTATTGAGGAATGGTAATGAGTTCTACACTTGACAAATGAACAATTATATCTCTTGACTAGAAATTTACATAAGCCTCTGGTTTTAAACAACCTGAATCATTTCAAGAAATTGATGATTTTCAACTGATGCAGAAACAGAGAAATCAGTTATTTAAATGGTTTAAACTCAAAGAAACTGATGAATAATTTACTAATCAAAGTATAGTATGTGTTTTATCTCAAACTTGGAATTGCTTTCTTCTTTGATTCTAATTTTA